TTTGTTTGTTAATATTTATATCACTTATAAGGTAAATACATAATATGAAAGAAAAAAGCACCTCTTTGAACGAAGAAAACCGGCGCTCCCCAGCACTTGTGCCTGAGCTCCGCAGAGCAGGAGGGGAGCAGTGGGTGAGTGAGCAAAAACCGGTGCTCACCTCCTGCTCTGCGGAGCTGCCCCGGTTTCAGCCCTGGCTCAAATGAAGGTTCCACTCTCCCAGCCCTGCCGCTTGAATATTGGCATATAACACACAGCTAGGATTTCAGCCCCAAATTTTAGGGGGAAAAGTGTGTGTTATACGTCAATATATAGGGTAGTTCTTATGTGCAAGTTTATTCATTTAACACGAGTGGGAAAAAAATATTAGCTATAACTGCTTTCTTAGCATGTGAATAATTTCATTGAATTTTGAGATGTAGCAAGCATATCTGTGTATACCAGTGTTATAGGAAGGATATTAGCTGTGTAAAATGACAACTCAATAGAATATATTAAATAATTTGCATAACTGAATAATTTGATGAAATTGAAAGGCACTTCCCAGTTTCTCATTCCAGCTATGTGTATATATGTACGTATGCATTCACATGCATATACATCTAGCCCTTTTGGAGCATTTTAGATGTATTTAATCTCCCCGAGCAAGAAATGAAAAATAGATGAATACTTTACCTTCATCAGTTTGCATCATTGTTTGCACATGCAAATAGTGAATGTAGTCATGATCTGTTGTACAGAAAACATGGGTATGTTTGCCCCTTCCCCATATAGACTCTACACCCATAAGGAAAAATGTTACATAGAAGCTAGGAATTGGATTCTAGTGAGTGAGGAAGGGGGCAATGGTCACATTGTGCCATATTACTACAAGCCATTGCCTTCCTTGCAGTCTGAGATTCGCTTTAGTCTGTTTCATTGTATTCTTACACATATTAGATCTGTCACAGGGAAACTGCATGGTCTGATAAAATTTTGAAAAATACTTGATTTCAGTAAGATCTAATTGTACATCTTAAAGTATACATACAGGCATCGTAATATTGCTCTTTTCCTCAAAGAACAATAAAATCCCCTCCAAACAAGAATGAGGATCCATCATCTCCAAATGTTATATGATTCCATCTGCCCACACTTGAATGTCAATGGTCTGAGATGATGGGAGTGGCAGTCTAACAATAACTACAGCAGAAGCAGCTCATCTTTTTATGGACTGAGTGAGACTTTGTTTTTCTTTTTTAACCAGTAACCAAGTGCAGTAACCAAGTAACATAATTGGAGGGATGGAATTTTCAGCTGTGTTTAATCCTTTGGGGTGGAATTTTTTAAAAGAATAATAATAAAAAATAAAAGGATTACATCTATCAGAGATTTAAGCCATGTATTGCATATTATGTATTCTGATTTTCTCAAACAATGGCAGAGCATCAACTAATGTTATAAATTCACTGGTGAATTTTGGTGTTATGTCCTGAAGGGTTTTAGGGCCAGAAAAAGGAAAGGGGTTAAGGTGACAGGGACTCAGGTTGTCTTTCCCTGATCTGAAGGAACATAAGTTTTCCATTCCTCAGGAAACATTACCCCTTGGTAACAACTAACTTGTGATAGCACAAGAGAAAAAGCCGAACTAGATAGCCATGGATCTGCTATTCAAAATATCAGATTTTTGTGCCCCTCTCTACTTTTTTGTTTGGATTTTTTTTTTGACATGCAGTTTTATTTTCAAAGGATAACCCTATTGCATGTATGCATTTTATTGCCCCTTTTCTCCATTACTGCCTCCCACTCTGACTTGCCTATTGTAAACATAAACATCTTAGAATGTTGCATCAGAGGACAAATGACAAGACATGTTGAGAGAAAAGAAAGGAAAACATGGATAGATTGTCTCTTCCATTCAGTGGTAGCTCTGTATTTGCCATCATTGATAGATTGATCATAAGAAGCATTTCAGGCTGGATTTAGGGTGATAAAAGCTCATAGAATCCATAAATGTATAAACAATTTAATGTCAGTGTGAATTTGGAGAGAATTACCTCTCACTTAAAGTTATTGATTATCACAGATTTAACGTCTTGACTGTGTGCTGTTTTAAATGAATTTGAGGCTGAGAGAGTATTTTTCTATTTCTGAGATTAGTATCCATTCAGATACATTGCTCAATATATTTGTAACATCTTAAAATAGTTTTGTTGCTGTTTCTATCTTCTGATCAAGATGTATTGTACTGTAGCTTCTAACCAGCTACAATAAGCAGGAGCAAAATGATGAGGATCGGCTATATCTGACCTCAGATTAACATGATCTAATTGTTACTTAGACATTTTATTTCAGGGAAGAGAAGCTATAATGATGAATAAAAGTTTGGTATTTTTGTTTTGCTAGGCATGCATCCTGGGTATAATTTCAGTTTAAGATGAGTAAATTGATGCATCCTTGAGTACTCAGTGTAGACTTTTAAGCAAATAAGTCCCTAGTGTGCCACTTCTATTTCGATGATAAAAATAAAATATGGATGGGTCTGGATGATAGAATACAAACTAATGAATGCATAACAAATACCTCATTAACAAGAAAGCAAGAAGCACAACTATGAGCATAAAAATAGTGTTTGCTGAAGAGTTACTAAACTGATGCTTTTGTCTGGCTTTATGAAGGCAGGATTTATACCAGCCAAAATACTTCACTCTATCCAGTATCAAAAGTCTAATGCAGCTTTCCCTGTTTTG